GTCTTGTGCGTGTGTGTGTGGTGGTGGGGGGGGGGGGGTGGAGCGGACCTGTTGTGCCGCGGGGTGCAAAGGGGGGTGGGAGGCGGCGATAACCTTGCCCTCACTTACTGCCAGCCTGTATGCTTGTTCTTTTTTTTTTTGTTTGATTTGTGAATTTTATCCGTCTTCCGTTTTTTTTCTTTTTGTTCTTCCTCGCTGCTTTTTGTCTTTACTGTTGGTTTTGTCGCGTCCTGCGTTCTGCCGCCAGCTCCTATCAAGACCAAGCATGCCATTCGTGAAGGTTGTGAAGAACAAGGCGTACTTCAAGCGCTTTCAGGTGAAGTACCGCCGTCGCCGCGAGGGCAAGACGGACTACCAGGCGCGGCGCCAGATGGTGCTACAGGACAAGACCAAGTTTGGGACGCCTAAGTACCGCCTGGTGGTGCGCATCACGAACCGCGACATCATTGCGCAGATTGTGCTCGCAAAGGTTGTGGGCGACGAGGTTGTGATGGCGGCGTACTCGCACGAGCTCCCGCAGTTCGGGATCGAGCACGGCCTGACGAACTACGCGGCGGCGTACGCGACTGGCCTGCTGGTTGCGCGGCGCATGCTGACGAAGCTAGGCCTTGCGGGCAAGTTTGAGGGCGTGAAGGAGACGGACGGGTCCTACTCGGCCGTGCGCACGAAATCCGACGATCAGGGCGACGACGAGACGCGCTTCCCTTTCAAGGCGATCCTTGACGTCGGTCTTGCCCGCACGACGACCGGTGCCCGTGTGTTTGGTGTGCTGAAGGGTGCCGTGGACGGCGGCCTGGCCGTGCCGCACCGCCCCAACCGCTTCCCCGGCTACAACAAGGAGAAGGACTCCCTGAACGCCAAGGCCCACCGCGACCGCATCTTTGGTCACCACGTTGCGGAGTACCTGAAGCAGGTGCAGGAGGAGGCGAGCTCGAACCCGGAGGAGAGCACGTGCCAGTTCTCCAAGTACATCAAAGCCAAGGTTGCCCCCAGCGAGCTGGAAGGCGTCTATAAGAAGGCGCACGCTGCCATCCGCGCGGACCCGATGAAGCGCCGCGCGAAGAAGGAGCGCAAGGAGGCCGCGGCGGTGAAGAAGTACAACACCAAGAAGCTGACTGGCGCCGAGAAGAAGGCCGCCGCCAAGGTGAAGATTGCATCGGTGATTGCGAGGATCCGCGACCGCGCGTCGAGGTAGTGACATCTGCTGTTACTGAATGAATTCCATGGGGTCTGTTTTCTAATTTTGGTTATTAATTCTACAAACTTTTTTTTTTCCGCTTGTTGCGTGTGTGTGTGGTGGGGTGGGTGGGGGGGGGAGCGGACCTGTTGTGCAAAGGGGGGTGGGAGGCGGCGATAACCTTGCCCTCACTTACTGCCAGCCTGTATGCTTGTTCTTTTTTTTTGTTTGATTTGTGAATTTTATCAGTCTTCCGTTTTTTTTCTTTTTGTTCTTCCTCGTTGCTTTTTGTCTTTACTGTTGGTTTGTCGCGTCCTGCGTTCTGCC